ATATAATAGCGGTTCCAGTGGAACCGCTATCATATACAACAAGATTTTGACTCGATCGATCAGATTTTCAAAATGATCGATCATATTTGCTAATTTTTTCAAAGAATTAATTATAATTGATTAGTTTTGTAAATTATTGATTAGAATTGATTAGTTTTTCAAATAATAGATTAGAATTGATTAATTTCGAAATATATATTCAAAAATTATAATTAAAAATATAGATTATTTAAGAATATTAACTATTGTAAAGATAAAGTTGAATATGGGAGGAGATGAGGATGATAATATAATGATAGAAGTTACAAAAATGTAGAATTGAGAAGTTTGAAACAAAAAAAGCTAAGCAAATAGAGATTTAATTACACTTTTAATAAATTGAAGATAATACTAGTCTTGATTTTTATTTTTAACTATTTATTTTAATTATTTAAAACAGAGAAACTATAATTTGACTTTCTAAATACTCAATTTAAAGAATTAAATTCATTATTATTTAATCTTTTAATTTTAGTATTAAAAATTTAAATTATATTTTATTAAATTAAAATAAATACAATATAATTTTCTACTTTGAGAATGAACAATATAATTAAACTCAAAATTGAGAATATTATAATACATTTTTGAACTCTTTTGGATTATTTTTTTTCCTAATTTTTGATAAAGTTAATTATAATATTTAAAAGTATTTAACATTTTGAATTCTGAAAGGTTTTCTCTAATAGCAAATTTAAAAACATAATATTCAAGAAAATAGTTAATGTAAGTTGTGATTATGATCGATCATAATTTGAAATGATCGATCATAGTTGAGAGGATTAGATAGCGGTTCCACCTTAACCGCTATCTAAAGTGCATGTTAGATAGCGGTTAAGGTTTAACCGCTATTACAAGTTCCCATTTAAGAGCGGTTCCTGTGGAACCGCTATCATATACAACCATATTTTAAGATTGTGAAGTCTCAGGTGTAATTTCACTTGAGCGACACTGGTCTCGCTCGAGCGACGCCACATGAACAAAATTGGCATTCTCGGGTTGATTTTCGCTTGAGCGACAGTGTCTCGCTCGAGCGAAATCCACATTTTTTGGTTATGATCGATTACATTTTCAAATGATCGATCATATTTGAATATATATAATAGCGGTTAAGAGTTAACCGCTATTAGACGTGCTATCTAATAGCGGTTAAGATTTAACCGCTATTAGAAGTGCTATTATAATAGCGGTTAAGTTTTAACCGCTATTATATACAACCACATTTTTCATTTCCCTGTCTCGCGCCACTTATCCCCAAATAACCCTAACTCTCGCGCCTCACTCACCCATTCCTCTTAACCTTGGCCAGTATCTCCTCCTCACTCCCGGCGAGCCCTAGCCCCCTCACTGCTCCCCCCAAGTCAGCCCTCACCCTAATCCAACCTCCACCCCAGTCATCACCACCGCCTCCCTGGCCACCATCGTGGCCATCCCTAAATCTCAACCTAACCTTCACCATCGAGGTCTTTCCACGCCTCGGTTGCCCCAATTGTGCCATTGAGTTCCCCGCGAACTAGAGGTGAGTCGAGAGGGTCGCGGGTCAAGTGCTTCGGTTCACATTTTGTTGCTATGTTCTATTTCTTTTATGCCTTTTTATCGTGGATTGTTCTCCTTGGTTAAGGATGAATTGTGTGTGGGTCTGGTTTAAAGCTGGTTAGTTGTGGACGAGTCTAAAAACCTTGATTGCATACCATTTTTAAAACCTTGGTTATAGAATGCGGAAGGTGTCTTATGTCCTGTTAATGATTTGAACTTGTGCTCGACAAACAGATTGAGAAAATGGAGAATTTCTTGAAGGAACCTAAGGGAGGATCATTGGACGAGAGAATTCTACCAAAAACTTGCTTGGAAGTTTCAAGTGAGTTACGCTTTTCATCTGGTTGTTAGGTTATTTTCCGAGTAATAGAAGAAGTATTGTCATTGAGGAGTGTTGGAATATGATGTTTGTGCATTCTGTGCGGCATCCTTCAAATATTGCTATTTTCCTTTTCCTATATTCTTAGATGGTTGTGCCTTTTTTTATGTAGTTTTTAATTAATCCTTTATTTTGGAGAAATTCTAGATTGAAAGTTGGTTTCAGGCTAGGCTCCAAGACTTAGCACTAGTCCCTAACGGTGAGTTGATGATTCCTAAATGTAAGGAAGGTGAGTCTTCCGGTGGACCTTATGGTTCTTAGCATAGTAAGTTATTATGTTGTCTTCAAGTATTCAAATGGTCAACATTAGATTTATTTAATATAATTGCAGTGTTTTTCATTCGTTGCTTGAGTTATGGTAGGTTGCCTATTTTATTTTATGTCTCTCGTGTCTATGTTGTCTGTCATCACATATTCAAATATTCAACATTGAATTATTTAATATAATTGCGAGTGTCTACCATTGTTGCTTAAGTGATGACTTTTACGTTAAGTCTGTTTTTTGTTATTAGGAACATGTTTGGTAGAAGATAATATGATATGAAGATGAGGAATAACTTAGCGATAATGAAGGAACATGAAAGTGATAATAACATTCCCACCATAAAATTTTTTTCACTTTCTATTTTCCTTCTATTTTTGTATAGCTAGTTGCTACGAGTTGTATTTATTGATATATTTGAGGAAACTTCTAATAAAATGAGTTATCTTGTGAGATTGTACCTGGACTGATTGTTTTACGAAGTTATGCGAGATCCATCGAGTTGGAATTTGAAGCAAGATCATCAAAAGATGGAGCATGGTGAGAACATGCAGATTATTTCGATTACCTTAAATTTTCCTAGCCATCACTTGTTCATGAAGTATTTTAAATTTTAATGTATCTGAATCAAAAGGTTTCCTTATATACCTTTCCCAAGCATTCAAGAAAAATTCATGCAAACTTCTCCACCTTTTTGGAGGTCCTCTAGCTGCTGATCCCTTCGTCATATATCTCGTGTTCCCTTGACATGTATTCCATGTTGGTATAAGCTGTTGCTTGAAGTCTTCAATTGTGGAATAAACCTCTAGTTCCGGTTCATGATCAAGACTCATATCCCGAGTGATAGTGGAATGGAAAAAGTAATTTAAATATGGATGCACCAATATCTATTCGGGTCATCTTATTATTAATTTATTATTGTTTTTACCAATTGATCCACATTTCATGGATGAGAATGCATCTTAATTACTAACTACTAAGCATTCATTATGTAATACAATTGTGTCCAATTGGAGAAAAAAGTTGTCTAATGAACTTGATATAATTAAAAATGTAAATAAATAAAAATAATTAACTTTGTTATTAATTTAGCGACCGATTTAGCGACCAAATTTTTGGTCGTTACAAATTTATTATAATATACAATTCAAATTTAGCGACCGATTTAAATTATTATTTAAATAATTCAATTAATATATTAGCGATCGATTATATCGATCGCTATTATTTTTAACTTTGTCTCCAATTTAGCGACCGATTTTAATTATTATTTAAATAATTATATTAATATATTAGCGATCGAATATATTGGTCGCTATTTTTTAAAACTTTACCACGGATTTAGCGATCAGATTTAGCGACCACTTAATTCGGTCGCTATTTTGGTCTCCAATGAATAAGTGACCAAATTATTTAGCGACCACTTTAGCGACCACCGGATCGGTCGCTATTTAGCGATCGAAATGTAAATCGGTCGCTAACAACTTAGCGACTTGCCCTTTTGCGACCAACCATTTCGGTCGCTAATTTCGATCGCTAACGGAATAGCGATCGAATTTTGGCCATTAGCGATCGATTTTTTCGGTCGCTAAAAGCGATTTTTCTTGTAGTGAAATAACAACATTAACATTTTTAGTTTATTTATTTAAATAATTGATTTTATTATTAATTATTTGTAACATACATTTTATATTTTTAATGAAATTATGATAATAATTTTTAATTTAATCATCATTTTAAAATAATAATTATATATATATATATATATATATATATATATATATAAATTACAATAATAATTTTTTTATTAATCATTAATACGTGAATAATATCTATGACAAATATATTATTATTGTCATTTTTAATAAGATTATAGTGACCATTTTTAATTTAGTTACTAATATAATAAGTATTTATAATAAATTTTTAATTTAGTCATTAATATAATAATATTTGTGATAAATTAAAAATTTGTCACAAATAAAAATAGTTATAAATATATAATGAAAACATAAATTCGTCATTAAATGCGTATAAACCGTCACAAATTTTGTGTATGACAAAATTGATGACGGACAAAATATTCTCAAATTGTCTAACATCACAAAATATTTCACTAGATTGACAAAAATTATTCGTCAAATTTTTAAAAAATTTGATAAAAAAAATTATGTAAATATTTGAAATATTTTTGCGGAGAAACTTGTTTAAACAAATTCCTAGATCAGGAACCTCCGAAGAAACAATTGATAAACTCTGCATGCTTAGGCAAAGTAATTTTTAGAAATAGTAATAAATGAAATTTGTATTTACTTCATTAGAGAATGTAGCTTAGAATTGTTTAAAGTATATGTAGAAGTAGTTTAACATAAGTTCTTTTTGCTAAGTCGTATATGAATTCCATATTATATTGTATTTAGGTTAGACTAAGTGTGTAAGATATACTTTAGCATATGATTATGTTTTAATGCGTATATTGCTATTTAATCATGATATTTCTTAGCACAGAAAAACATAAATCATTGGTTACTTGGGTTTGTATGTAATTAAGAAAAATCATGACTTTAATTATTTTGTTAACCATATTGATGAATACTGTGTGGATGGGTCTGTCTTCATTCCTTATTTTAGTTATCATGGAGTTTCATAAATTAAGCAAATAGATAGCTCAAATCAACAAAGAGACATGAAGCGTAAAAAAACTAAGGTAGCCACTTGTCTCTACAACATATGACACCTATTTATTTATCAAAGGAAAATGGACAATAACATATTGCATTAATTCTACTTGACATCACAGCCACTGCATGAGGTGATTATTGGCAAGGTAGCACTTCCAAATGAGAGACCTGATCCATTTAATTTTTCTTCAATGATTTTGGATAATTTTTCTATCATTGAAGGAGAAAAGTAATTCACCCAATCTCCAGTCTCTCCCTTTCGAAAAAAATTCTTTTTCTCAATACTACCCTTGTACATTCCAGATTTATTTACTTCCAAATCTTTCATCTTCTCAAAGCTACATAGTTTGATTATGCTTTCAATCATTTCATTGCTCGCCTCTTCCTCAGAAAAAGGACAATCCAAGAACTTTGCAATAATTTTGACATGCTGATTGACATCTCCTTTGAGATCATCATACTTTAAGAACAAAACTTTGTTTGGTCGAGCCATGCTCTCTTCCCAATATCCTAACATATGACTCCACCATGGACCATAATCCATTATCCCATTACAATACATTTCAAAGGCTTCTTCTAATGTTAACTCAGACACAATCACTGGCTTAATTTTATTAAAGTAATTCCATGCAGAAACAAAGTTGTCAAACGGGTTTCTGCAAATGTAAACTATCTTACAATTAGACTCCTTGATTGACTTGGGTAATGATGGAAATGGAGTGTGAGTACCAAAAATCCTTGGCTCAGTCATGGTGGATAAGTGAAGATTTTGGTCATGAATATAATTACCACCAAAGATAAACTCAAAGAAAGGCACAAGTTCATGAGGATTGGAAGTGAGTAATGGATGGTCCTCTAAAGAGGAGAAACTTTGGTGATTGACAATGGCAAAAGTAAGGGCTTTTAACCAAATCGTACCTGATTTTGGAAAGCTAGCAACAACAACATCGCTCTCTTTTGCTTGAAACTCTTTCTGAAAATTGTTTACTGCTTGAAAATGAATTGATGGACACCAAAAATTTTCAAACAGGTACAAATGATAAGTGTCTGCCCAAGCATTCTCTCTGCGAAGGGAGACACCGAGCTTGTCTTCATCATTTGCTTGTTGAGCACCTATTGAAGCCATTACAACAGCCAGATTGAATATGAATGGTAGTTTCAAGTGGAAATTGGATGAGAATTTAGGTCACCATGGGTATATTTTATAGCATCAATTAGGGTTCAAGTTGAAGAAAGTAATTAATGAATATTTGCACTTACGAGGTAAAGAACATAGCTGTTTTGACAAATGGCAACAATGACAGTCATGCATGCTTCTTCTGGTTCAACAAGTGAGTAATTGTTGGTGAGCATTTCTAGAACTACTAGTTCTATCAGAAACTTCACTTATGAGAATTAGGTCAATATATTAATTAAAATTTCTAATTTGTTTTTACGCGTTGCACTTACATGGTGAGAAATTGGTTTATATTACATTTAAAAAAAATATCAACAGTGATCATGTGTTAACATCCTTTAATCCAGTACTGAATCAACAACTGGTTCGAGTTTTATAACACTTTTCACATTGATAGGGAAATTAAAATGGAGTTTGTAGAGGCTCAAAGTTTTCTTTTGGTGATAACCCAAACCTATTAAGATTTAAGATACTAAAACTATACTCAGGTTGAAACCAAATCTTGTTTAATCCCACTTGATGACACAAGTGTTGACACTCACATGATAATTTTCTTTGGCCAAAGTTCTTATACAGTGTTCTAACAATTTTACAGTGAGGACCATATGTTCCTCCTAATTACTACAAGAGACAAAGACTACTGTCATGTGACAACTGTGGTGAACACAACCAAGTGACTGACCAGAACTAAGAGGCAAACAGAGTCACATGCTCACAGTCAAGATCTAGCATTCAAGTATTTACAGTTTGGGGGTGAGTATTTTAAGAAAAAAGTATATTCTCATTTACCTTTAAAATTATTATATTATTTTAATTGTTTCAACTATTCATTCTTTTAAAATATTTTTAAATCTTTTAGAAAAAAATTGAAGAAAATTCGAGCTACTTATTTTATTTTAATTAATGATGCATGCATGTATATCTAATTACAGTTGTAGTAAAAGTGATAAGAAAGAATTTTTTAGCAACGGTAAAAGTGTATATTATTGATTCTTTGTTATATTTCAATTGAGAAATACAATGATGTATTTGTACACAGTCCTAGGATCTTCCCAAAATAGATAATAATTACCTAAGATATTACTAATATCAAAATATTTCAACAAACTCCTAATTATCTTCTTATTATCTTTTTATTCCAATAAACTCTAAAACTAACTATTTAATTTTATTCAACAAAACCTAACAAAACTCTTTTATTAAGTGGTAAAAAGTTGATATAATTATACTTTTAATTGTTATGAAATCACTTAACTTATATCAATTTTAATCTATTTTTCTCCTAATGTAGGATGAATTTGAGAATACATTGAGACAAGAGTAAGGAACATAATTGACAACATAATTGGAGCAAAACTGAAAGGAGGAAAAAGATTTTTAGCATGGGAGCGAAAATCAGTTAAAACTCTCTAGAAGTTAATCGCTCAAGCGTCAGAAATATCGCTTGAGCGAAAATTAGTTATTTTTCTCTAGAACTCACTTGCTCAAGCGAGCACTTTGTCGCTTGAGCGAGAATATAGGAAAATTTCGTTTGAGCAAGTGTTGTCATTTGAGCGAAAGACGCGAGACCCAATTTTTCCTATTAAAAGATAAGATGTATTTTGAGAAAAGCAAGCGGTTTTGGGGAGAAGAGGTGCGACTAGTGACAGGGTTTCGTTCAATCTTCATCAATTCTTCACTTCTTCTACATTTGGAGCATTATAATGGCCACCATGAGTGGTTAACTTTATTCTCTTGGGATTTGATGCACTTCCTTTGAACTCTTTTGTATATATCACGGTGATATTTTGAGATATTAATCTATGTTTTGTTTTTTCCATTGTAGTTCTTATTTTTAGCTATAGCTATTGCCGATTGACAATCACAGTGAATTGATACAGACGGGATCGGTTTTCATTCCTAATGGAATGTTTGCTAAGAAGTTTTTCAACCACTCAGCTTTACTACCAGCCATTTCGAGAGCAACAAATTCAGATTTCATTGTTGATCTTGTAATAATTGTATTCCTTACTGATTTCCATATAATCGCACCACCCCCGAGTGTGAATACATAACCACTAGTGAATTTTGTATCATCTAAATCAGAGATCCAGTTAGCATCACTGTACCCTTTTAGTATATCGGAAAATCCACTATATTCAATGGCATAATCCATTGAATTTCTTGAGTAAGTATCTTATAAGTCTTGCAAGTGCATTCCAACTCAGCTTTACTACCAGCCATTTCGAGAACAAAAAATTCAGATTTCATTGTTGATATTGCAATAATTGTTTTCCTGGCTGATTTCCATGTAATCGCACCACCCCCGAGTGTGAATACATAACCACTAGTGAATTTTGTCTCATCTGAATCAGATATCCAGTTAGCATCACTGTACCCTTTTAGTATAGCGGGAAATCCACTATATTCAATGGCATAATCCATTAAATCTCTTAAGTATGTTATAAGTCTTGCAAGTGCATTTCAATGTTCTTGATTAGGACATTGCAAGTGCATTCCAATTACTTGGGCATACTGAGGTTGAGAGATTAAGTGTCCTATATTTTTCTTTAACTTAGAGTTAGCGTCATAAGGGGTATTCACTGGTTTGATGTTATAACGCCCAAACTTCCTAAAAAGTTTCTCAATGTATGTCCTTGGGATAATAAAATACTACCGCCCTTCCTTATTATTTTAACTCCCAAAATCACATTGGTGTTAAGTGTTAAAAAGTTGATATAAATATATTTTGAATTGTTATGAAATCACTTAACTTATGTTAATTCTAATCTATTTTTCTGCCAATATAGGATGAATTCGAGAATACCTTGATGCAAGGCCCGATCCAAATTCTCTTATAAAAAGATAAGATGTGTTTTGAGAAAGGAAGCGGTTTTGGAGGAGAAGAGGCACGACTACTGCTAGGGTTTCGTCCAATCTTCATCAATTCTTCACTTCTTCCACAATTTGAGCATTGTAATGGCCAACATGAGTGACTAACTTCATTCTCTTAGGATTCAGTGCACTTCCTTTGAACTCTTTTGTATCATGGTGATATTTTGAGATATTAATCTATGTTTTGATGTTGTTATTCTTATCCTTTGTGCTTTGGAATGATTTATTCTTGATGTTTGTGGTATGATTGGAAAATATATCTTGAACCCTAGATCACGTTAAGAATATTTGTTACGTTAATTGCTAGGAATGAAATGAATGTATCAATTGCTTAACACCCTAACCCTAATGCTGGAAAATCTCTTAATTGTGTGAGAAATCAACATTTATTAGGTTTTCTTATGAATTTCATGTGTGAGGAATCAACATGGATGATTTGAGTAAGTGGCATCAACATTGTTAGGTTAATTGGCGTTCTTAATTGACATAGCCATTACAAAAGAGGGATAAGGAAGGAAACCAATCCTAAGTACCTTTAATTGATATTTTCTCAACAATTTGCAGTTCTTTATCATTGAATTTCAATTAAACTCTTTATGCAAAATCCATTTTATTTTAATATACTTAATAAGCACATAATTGGGAATTTCCATTGAAACCGTTCCCCATGGGATCAAATTTGATTTAATCGAAATACTATACTGCGATTGATAATTTTGGTACGTTTGCCAATAACTCAACAAGTATTTTTGGTGCCGTTGCCGGGGAACGATGTTCTTTGAGAATTCTTTGTTTATCTTAATGAATATTTTATTTTTATTTCTATTTTTATTTTATTTTTTAGTTTAGTTTTACTTAATTATTATCTTGTGCTAATCTTGCTTGAGTTACTCTTTTGATTTATGCATTTAATAAGACAGGTATCTTCAGATCAATTAGAATTTAATCCGGAGATTGAAAAAACAGCTCGGAGGAACCGGGGTAGAAGAAGAAGGGAAACTCAAGAACAAGCCACAAGAGAATCTGCTAATTCTTCTTCCACATTTGATTTACAAGACTCAATTATAGAACATATGATGGAAGAAGGAGCAAATCTAAATCCGAATCCAGATCCAAATATAAATCCAAATCAAAACCCAAATTCAAATCCACCTAGAAGAACTGTCAGAAATTATGCTATGCAGCAAAGCCCAAGACACTTTTCCAGCATTGTCATACTAGATGATCAGACATTGCATATGAATCCAGCTTTCTTAAGCTTGATTAGTGCTCATCAATTCACTAGATTGGATCATGAATGAAGCACTTGGTGGATTTGATGAAGACATAGATATAGCTTAGGTTGTGGGTGTGTAGATGATTAAGTTTTAAGTTTAAGCACTTAATCTCTTGATAGGCCATTATATTGTGTGATAAGCACCTTAAAATGTTGCATCTCATTGAAAATCATTTTTCTGCATGAAAAACTTACATTTAAGTATTAAAAGAACAAACTAAGTTTTTCAATCTGTTGAAAAGGATTTTTCAATCTGTTAAAATCACTCAACAAAATAAGTGGTCATACATAGTCGTATTTTCAATTGATTGATTCGCAGAATCAACAAGTTAAAATAACTTAGTGAATTTTTTCAAATATCATGGTTTCACATTTTCAATCTGTTAAAATGAATTTTAATCTGTTGAAACAGAAAGACTATTTTTTCAGTCTAAGAGTTTTTCAGAAAATCAATCTGTTGAAATGAATTTTAATCTGTTGAAACAGAAAGACTATTTTTTCAGTCTAAGAATTTTTCAGAAAATCAATCTGTTGAAATAATTTTTAATCTGTTAACACAGAGAGGCTATTTTTTTAACTAAGTGTTTTCAGGATTTCAATCTGTTGAAATGATTTTTAATCGATTGAAATAGAGAAGCTGTCATTTTTCATAAAGTCTGTTTTAATCCATTAAAAACTCGAATCAATCGATTGAATGAAGCTTTAAATGAAATCAATCGATTGAATCGATGTTTTAATCGATTGAAATAATATTCGATCGATCATAGTTTCATTCTGATCGATCATAACTCGATACTGATCGATCATAGTTTCATTCTAATCGATCATAACTTCGGTCTAATCGATCATAGTTTCATTCTAATCGATCATAACTCGGTCTGATCGATCATACTTTAGTTCTAATCGATCGAGTCTCTTCTAAACTATTTTACTTTAAACTAATCGATCTTTTGACTCTCGAAACAGTTTTTGACGAGTTGGAACATTCTGATTCTATGCCTTACTCTATATATACGAAATTGATCT